GTGATTGCCGTGTAATAACACGCCTGGGTTCAGCTGATTCACAGTTAAACTGTCTGGAAACCGAAAGTTGGAGATCTACCCAGAACCAGAGCCTATCTATATAGATATTCTCTGCCAGAACATAGAGTTGACAAGAATGCCATTTAATGATCTAAATTAGGATTCTTTGCGAGTTGGATCATTGATGTAATATAAATATTATAGGCTATTGTAATTGTTATTAGGCTTATATATTTCTTATACAATTGACTTCACATCCGCCAAAAATAAAGTTTATTTCCCTGCAATAAATAAACAAGACCCTTCCTGGATCCTGTCGTCACTGAAGTGTCTAAAGGGGAACTAAAGTTACGACTTTATTGTAACCCTCTGCTTATAAGCATTTTGGTCTGAATCGTGTTTGAATGATTATCATTACTCAGGGATGTGCATAGACATTTGTTTTGGATAAGAGTGGCTGTGAAATAAATAAATGTGTTCGATCGCTAAATTGTTTGTTGTATATATATATTTCTTTTTGTTAAAAATTGACGGTGCCGCACGGCGCAAAAATCATGGTGATGAATAAAGAATGCACTATTTAGATTAAGCGTGTTTCCTCTGTTTTTATGATTAACAAAAAACAGCCTACAATTTTTCGAAGATGTAGAAAGTTATCTCCACAAACCTTAATTATAGGACTGTAAAGAGATATGCCTATATAGCTTTTATTTCACACAGTCAAAGTAAGTGACGGCATAGGCCTACATGGGGGCAGACATTAACGCGGTTGTTTAACCCGTTGTCCTGCATGTTTTAAAGCTCTCCCTGCTCCAACACAGCTGATTCAAATGATCAACTCGTTATGAATTCCTGAAGCTGCTTAATAACAAACTGATCATTGAAGCTGTGATGGAGCAGGGAGAGATCTAAAACATGCAGGACAAGGCCGGGAGTACTCCAGGAGAGGTTTGGGAAACGCTGGTTTAACCTACTGCTGAGGTTTAGCTTGATCTCAGTTGCTGTGTCTTCAAGAAATTTCATATCAGCCACTAGAGGTCACCTTTTGTGCGTATTAGCTTAAACCTGACACTGAGGTGGTTTAAGGATCCTACATCACATCCTACGCACAAACCGTAGTAATATTTTGTTAAACTCTAAAGCCGCTAAGCTGACGACAGAGCAATTGCCTCAGCGTGGCTGGCTCGTCCACATCGCCATCCGCTCCCCCGCCCAAGAGTCCAACACCGCCTTACAGTATAACAGGCTAATTAAACACATAGAATGTACATTAAAACGGCTGACAAACCGAGAAATGGAAGAATAACAGCACGAGGGAGATTAATGCTGCATTAACTCATTGCGACATAGGCAATGCTATGTAATTTACAACACATTATAAGTAGGTAAACCGTAAAAACATAAAATACAAAGTATTCAGCTCTTCATAACATATGTTGTTTAAATATTTGGGTGCAGTTTGAACCACATTTGGAAGATTTATTTTCGGGACAGAGGGGTATTTGGAGGCAACTTTCAGCAAGGGCTCATCGACTGTGCACACTCGATTGTACTTCCCTTTTGAAAAAACTGGAATAAATGATTGTCGAACACAATGATCCAAAGTTCACTGACAACAGTAATCATTCAAAGAATATAACAGCTAGGCACAGTATAACTACGTCACGACAACACTACAGGGACAAGCAAGAATGTCTGCGAAATCTCTTACCATTTCATCAAGGGCGTTATTGCAACTCGTGAACCGCGCTGCGAAATACGGCTCTCGGCATGGGCGCTCCACAGTTGAGAGGCGGCCGCCTGTCAGGGCGTACTATGAAACCGCTAAAGCGAGCAGCGCTTCCATCGACCCGGTTTGGACAGTGGACCTCCGGAGTGACACGGTTACCAAGCCTGGACCAGCGATGCGGCAAGCCATGGCCGAGGCACAAGTAGGGGACGACGTTTTCGGCGAGGACCCGACTGTCAACGGTTAGAAAATCGCAGCTGTGGCCAGTGACTTTAATGACGGCATCGACGTTTTATCCCGTCCTCCAATAGTTTAAAGGTGCATTCAGACCTAAACGGTGCATTTGGAGTATATAACACAACATGACTTTACTGATATACGAGCTCGCTATTCGTCGATTTTGTGGAAAGTGATAAAAACTTCATCAGTCTGAGCTCTTCGTAAGCATCATCTCTAATGTTTGGTTGTTCTCATTAATTTCCACTGTAGGACATTGTACACAGGTGAAATTGACGGGGGTAGCTTTCATTATGACGTACTGGGATATCAGGATTCTGGGATCCCGTGATGACCCAGCAGAGGGCAGGAGTAGGCAATGGTGAATCAATATTAATAAAAAAATAATAAGCACTGATTTCGCGACTTCCATTCACGTCCAGAAGGGCACCTGGACAGGCTTCGATGGCTGCAATGCCATTAAAAAGCATCGACAGTCAACAATTATGAGGCCAGCAGGTGCCAGGCTTCACTCATACAGCGCCAAATTAATACTAAATAATATGAATTATGAATATAAATATGTCGCCGTTTTAAGTAAAGGAGGTTAGCAATAACCAACCAACAAGCTGTCCTTGGTCTGGGGGCTCTTCACCAAAAGCAATGGTGAAATTCAGTATGCAGTATTCATCATGGTGCCAGACACATCATCCTGTCTCTGTGTATACCACTTTCACTTTCCATAAACTCATCTGTGATTGATTTTGCTCTTGCAAGTACATGTTTTACAAGATTGCGGTGCCGAACATCCTGTTCATTTTGTGTAATTGGTTGTCTTCCCCCAGAACTCCAGCGTCGGGCGACAGATATATTTGGCATGGAAGCAGCATTGTTTGTGCCTTCAGGGACCATGAGCAATCTGATTGCCGGTAAAGTGGAATAATTTGCAGTTGTTGAAAATGTAATATATTGAATATATCAGATTGGGAACCAGTGGAGACAGAGGAGCAACCTGGTTCATACGTGTGTGTGTGTATTTGTTCCAGTGATGGTGCACTGCAGAGAGAGAGGGGATGAGATGATCGTGGGAGATCTTTCCCATCTCCATATCTATGAACAAGGAGGCAGTGCACAGGTACAGCCAGAATATGTGTGTGTGTGTGTGTGTGTGTGTGTGTGTGTGTGTGTGTGTGTGTGTGTGTGTGTGTGTGTGGGAGGGTTTCAAGAGCAACTTCTGAGTTTTACCTGTGTGTGTGTGCAAGTGTGGGAAGATTTCTAGTAAGAACAATTTCTGAATTCTACCAATGTATGTGTGGGAGGGTTTTTAATACAAACAACTTTTGAATTGTACCTGTGCATGTGTGCATGTGTGTGTGTGTGTGTGTGTGTGTGTGTGTGTGTGTGTGTGCGCGCGTACGCGTGCGCGTGTTCTCTCCTCTCTCAGCTGGCTGGCGTTCACTCCACCACAGTCACCACCCTCCCAGACGGGACCTTTGATCTGGAGCAGCTGGAGTCCAAGATCCGTCATGGATACCCCGATGCCCACTACCCCCGCTCCCGCCTGGTCTGTGTGGAGAACACCCACAACATCCAGGGGGGGCGTGTCCTGCCACTCTCCTTCCTTCGGGAGGTGAGGCTCCAGGTTCGAGGGGAGACCAGGCAATACAGTACTGTGGGGAGAGGGGGCGCCAGAGATCTGGGAGGGCATTTCTTTATCCAGCTTCCCTCTGAAGAGGCACAGCTGTGTGAATGAGAACTCCTGCTGTGAGTTCAGGAAACAGATGCTTTACAGATGAAGGAAAGTGTTCCTGCATTCAGGGCAGCTCTTCCACTGACAGTGTTTCTCAATTGAGGGGGCAGACCAGATATCACCAGCATTGTGTTCGAGATTGCACGTGCATATCTGTGTAGGCTGGAGTGTGTGGAGGTCCTGTGATGTGGTAATGAACGGGGCCTGCAGACCCAGAGGTCTCTGGTTTGATTCAGAGTGCAGCACTGCTGTTGTATCTTGGGTAAGGTAGTTATACAGCTGGATATATCCTTCTGGTTAAGTGGATATCATGTAACCATGATAAGGTGGGTCTGGATGAGAGTGTCTGCAATCTGACATGGCTTGTCTCCCGCAGCTGCGTTCGATGGCGGATCGGTACGGCCTGGCGGTCCACATGGACGGGGCGAGGGTGATGAACGCGGCGGTGGCCCAGGGCGTCCCTCCCTCTGTCATTCTGCAGCACTGCCACACTGTCAGCGTCTGTCTGTCCAAGGTACAGCCGCTCACATTTATACAGAGACGCATGTGTGCACAGAGATGCATGCGTTCACACAAACACTTACTAAGAGATACACCTGCACACACACAGATGCATGCATACACAAATACACTAACACATACAAACATTTACTCAGAGATACACCTGAACACACACAGGTACACAAACACCTATTCAGAGATACACCTACACAAACACAGAGATGCATGCATTCACACAGACACACTAACACACACAAACACTTACACAGAGATACACCTGCACACACACAGGTACACAAACATTGACTCAGAGATACACCTGCACACACACACATATACACAAACACCTATTCAGAGATTCACCTGCATACACAGAGGTGCATGCAGACACAACTACACTAACACATACAAACATTACAGATAGATACACAAAGAGATAAACCTGCATACACACAGATACACAAACACATACTGAGAGACATGCATTGACACGTACACACACAGCTGTGTGCACACAGACAAACCTCTTACTCAGAGATATGTCTGCACACACACACGTTAGCATGCACACAAACACAGATATGCAAACACAGACACACAGGTGCACATACACAAAGATACATGCGCACACACAATACTCAGTACACACACTTACAACATCATGCCCTATTAATCACATGGGACGTAAGACCTCCATACACCAGACCTACAACAGCACATAATGGGTTTGTTGTCAAACTCATTAAAGAATCATTAAGCTGATTGCCATCATTCCCTCATTCTGTCCGGCACACACATATGGGCGGCGGTGTGGCGCAGTGGTAATGAGTAGGGCTGGTAACCAAGAGGTTGCTGGTTCGATTCTCCTCTGGGGCACTGCTCATGTACCCCTGGGCAAGGTACTTACCCCAAAATTGCCTCACTAAATATCCAGCTATATAAAATTCTAACATATATAATTCGCTCCATAGAAGAGCATCAGCTAAATGACTGTAATGTAATGTAGACCCATAGGTCAGCCAGGCCAGTGGAAACACCTCTCATATACTGACCCCTAATGTAATGACATATCGGCACGGTCACCTGCCTCACACATCAGTGACAGCTGTCCGTTATCCTTTAATGACCAGTGGTTTTACTACATTACCTTTCCCCCTCCAGACCCGTGTCCTGCTTCCTGCTTCAGAGAAGCACAGTCTATCACGTTACCCAGTTTTCAGTCCTTCTCAGCGCTTTACATTACATAATTGTCATTTAGCAGACACGCATATCCACAGTGACTTAGATCGGTTACTTTTTTTTTTTTTTTATTTAACAATGTTATCCATTTATCCAGCAGGATATTTCACTGAGGCAATTGTGGGTGAAGTACCTTGCCCAAGGGTACAGCAGCAGTACCCCGGTGGGGAATTAAACTGGCAACCTTTGGGTTACGAGTCTTGCTCCTTATCCGCTATGCTACACTGCGGCCCCACTTGCCTCTGAGGTGTTCTCCAGACTGCACCCTGATTAGAGAGCCTAGCAGGAGCCGCTCTGTGGAATGATGAATGCAATGAGAGATCTCCTGCAGCAGAAGAGGAAGTGTCAGATATAAAACGAATGTGAGACGTGCTCGCTTCATTTGCAAGACAGACGTGCAATGTAAAGTGAGCTGCGAGGGCAGACATGTGGGTTCAAAAGACAGATGAGAGGCAGAATTAGCTTTTAATGATGTGCAATTTTCATCCTCAAAGTCATTCAAGGTCGGTTATGCTGTCCTTGTGAGTCCTCACGGGAGGTGTGTAGGTGTGTCGGCCTTACATTACATCGCATTCTTCTGAGCAGACGCTCTTATCCAGAGCGACTTCCAACACAAAAGAGCAGAAGTCTACCCATCATCCTCTGCATGAAGCAGGCTTGGATTTATGTGAATTTGATGTAAACTCAACAACAAGGTCACTGGAAGATGAAATTTAAGATTTTGTTTATTATTTATTGGTCATAAAAAGTGTTTTTTTAATGAATGGTTTCACTTTTCTTAAGGATAATGAGGAAACTAGGTAATTAAATATTGTCTGTAACAATCTTTTTGATTTCTTGTGATAATTAATCACCGAAACACAAATGACAGTGTTGCTAAGCTGGTACATCATGACTAATCGTCAGCCGTGGTTTTATGCATGACTGTGTGTGCATGTGTGTGTGTGTGTGTGTGTGTGTGTGTGTGGTTGGCAGGGACTGGGGGCCCCGGTGGGCACCATACTGGCAGGACCAAAGGACTTCATTCAGAGGGCAGTGCGTGCCCGTAAGGCACTGGGAGGTGGAATGCGCCAGTCGGGCATCCTGGCAGCAGCGGGCACACTGGCACTGACGAAAATGGTGGGCAGGCTGGAGGAGGACCACAGGAATGCCAAGGCCTTCGCCCAAGGTAGCGCCAAACCCGCCAGGCACTCAAGCGCTAGCGGTTACCACTGTCCAACACCTGTCCTCTCACACTGCCCAGTACTTCATTACAGGGACAAATCAATACCCATTTCCACAAAGGCGTCCCAAATGAGCCCATCAATAATATCATTACTACCGACAGCAAACAGTCCTCACAGTGATGAAAAACGACTGAGCAATGTATCAGAGTATCAGAGTAATGCATCTGGCTCTCGTAAGGCTTGGAATGCATTGTTCAATGGTCGAATTTTACTAGGTGATCAAAAGGACACACTTGCATGCGCGCACACACCCATCCCTGTGGCAATAAGACCGAATGTCATAGTGCTGCCTACTCATCCTGACTCCTCCCCGCCATCCCAGCATTGCTGGAATGTGACCCCCCTCTGTACCAGGTGGATACGGCTGCCGTGGAGACGAACATCGTGCGCTTCAGTCTGCGTGACCCCCTGCTGACCCCCGCTGAGTTCTGCAGGCGCATGGCGGAGGTGGAGGAGGGTGAAGTCCGGGCGCTGGGGCGGGGCGTTCGTGTGCTGATGTTCCCCCACGTTGGCGGCTCCGTCAGGGCCGTCTGGCACTTGGATGTCACCGAGGAAGACACCCAGCTGGCCATCCAGAAACTGCACTTTGTGGCCCAGCAGCATGTGGAGGAACACCACAGGGCCCAGTGAAGCCCGGGACTCGCCTGGCTACATTCACCCCAGCAAAGAGCCTGGAACTGTAAGAGTATGTTCCCCTTACAATCCGCACAGTACAGAGAACAATCAGCACCTTCTGAGGGATGAATGCAACACCGCAATGATTATGATGATTATGGAATCATGAAATATAGACTCCGCTGTAGAATTTTGGGTTTGGACTTTGAGTGCCTGTGTGTGGAATGGTTGGGTTTTGAAAGGACAGTGGTACAATTTTAGTGTGACCTCAACAAATAGCAAATAAAGTAAATAGCATTTTGCACCATTTTTGTTTGCCATTTAAAATCAAGTTGCTGAAGGTCAACAGCAGAAATAAAATTCAAAATGGAGTGTTAAAGTGGGAGTGTGTTCCACACAGCTGACTTAATGAGACAGTTTGATGAATATGTCAGTGTATATCATGTTAAACTTTACGTAACATAATATGTTACCCGTTATTGTTGCTATGAATTATTTCCAGTGCTAGCTAGTTAGCAGCTGTAGGTCTCATGTCAGCTAGCTAGCTATTCACTGCTAAAGCAAAGATCACACATGTACTGTGAATATGGAATATGGAAGTTTTGATGGATAATCATATAATTTCATATTGGAAATTTGGAGTTACAAAGCTGGTTCCCGTAATCTTAACGTGGAAATAATTATCCCTTCTCTACACCAGAACGTGGCACCCAGCAAGCTGTCAGTGTTCTGGCTGAGATATCTTATTACGAGGCTGTCACATTTGCGAATGAAAGAAGATGTCTTTAACGTAAAAGGATGATGAAAATTAGTTTTACACAAAGGGAGAGAGACATTGGTATGCTCTCATATTTGGTGGAATCTGAGAGCTCTCACAGCTGAGGCCCTTTCTCCTGTGAAAGATGGGAGAGAAAAAGCAGAAAGAGAAGTATGGCAGCAGACAAGCTGATCTTTCAAAAAATAGGCAGGGTCATTCAAAGCGATCCACAGAGAGGATGCCCCAAACCCTTAACTTTATCTCAGTCTGCAGAGGCTAACAGGGTATGACTTGGACAAATTCTGTCACACTTGGACATGTTCTGATGGATCTTGTCTTAGAGAAGACATTGAGAACAACTCCCTCCCTTCCAGACCCCCACACACACACACACACACACACACACACACACACACACACATACACACTCTCTTGTCTTGAATGAGCACTCCTAACTGTTGTAGGTTCAGTGAGAGTTCATTAGTCTGCCAGCTGTGAAGTGATACGTGCCTGTGATGACAGCAGATGGTGGGTGCTGTCAGGGTGCCGGGCAATCTACGCCAATTTGCCGTGTCATTTGCGGGGGACAAAACCAGCCGCTTGGGTGCTGTACAGCGTTTGTATGTCACAGTGAAAAGACCCAGGAGGAACGCATTGTAGTGCTCCATCTTAAGGCTAGAGAAATCGCAGAGATTCATAAAGGTATCTTTGCTACAAGATCAAAGACAGGAAAGAGACAGGAAACCGACAAGCTGAAGAATGTGTTAATTACAGCGGAGCAGGTGCTTGTTAGTCCCTGGATATTGTTGGTTGCAAACCTCAGACTATTGTGTGTGGCGTGTGTGTGCGTGTGAACATCTGTCATCATTATTAAAGAATGAGACATGTAGCCAGGATGGAGCCCACAGTCATGGTTACACAGGCTCTGCCTGCAACAAAAAAATGTAAAGGAAGTGACATCTTCTGTGAGAGGCTGTGAAGTGCTTTTTTGACATGAGCCAGGCTTTCACTGAACCATGTGAACTGTATGTGTGCTGTGCTTATACCACAGAATCATGGGTAGTCTAGTGCTGCCCACCCCTGCCTTGCTTGTGTGTGTTTTCTGAATGAATGAATGAATGACAAGGCATGACTAAGTTGGAGTGCACTGTAAAAAATGAGCACAACGGGTAAAAACACAAACCTGATGACTGCCTTCAGCTTCCACTGCACAGCTATACTCCTAATATCCACACGATGTGGCGACCCAATATGCTGTACATTAACTCATCACGCATGCAGGTCATGCAGGAATTTCCACTTCCTTTATTAGTTTTTGTAATTCCTTTTCGTATCCTTCTGCAGTTGTATCCATGCCCCACTATCTCAGACTGTCCTGTAGATTGGCTTAAATCTTCAATTTGCACACTCCTATTTCCAAAACATCTTGACCTGAAGGCAAAATAGTAATGAGAGCTGCAACCTTGTTCTTCCCCAGAGGGAAAATGTTGATAGCAAAATGTGTCTTGAAGTATCATTCTTGTTGGCTAATTTTGCTCAAAGTAAATTCATTTGCTGCAGTTTTCGCTAACATGGAAGACAGATAAAAATACCCCATGTTCACTGTTTCCACTAAACAACATTTGAAGCCTGTGTGAACCGTCACTGCCCTGTCAGACTGGCTGTGAAATCGGTGCGTGCGTTACATTACATTATTGGCATTTAGCAGACGCATACACGTTACAAATTACGTGCACACACATTACATCACGCAGACATTATTTTCAGTTTTATAATTGCAAATACATTTGAGAACAAGACAAATCGGCAGCAGGCCTACACATACTTGGACAACTTGGAATTCAGGACAGAGACTGTTTAAATATTTCGGTTATAGTATTGCGAATCACGCTTTTAAATTCTGTAAGGGTAACAATGACAAGAGGCTAACGGATAACTGAAAAGACCAAAATTTTCTGTTTACACGGCAAACAGAGTTTTTCCATACAGGGCTATGCTACAGCTGCCGGGGAGAGGGGAAGTCACATTGATGCCTTTGC